AATCTCCCTTCAATTGGCAGTAAAAACAAATCGATTCATTGGAATTCTTGGAATTTGAACCTATAAGCATTTCTATTTTACTTATGTTATTAAGCATTATCGCTTCAGCAATCATCAACATATTGGTCAGATCAAATAGGGTCACATCAAGATTCCTCATATGAAAGTTCTTAATGAACCGCCATATGACTCAGGAAGATAAAGAAGAACCAAATCATTGGATTGCTTCTTTGGGAATACGATAGCCTATCCAATTTGTCGATGTACGATTTCATTTTCAGAACATGCACACAAACAAAAACTCCATCTTCATGTTTACATGCCAAAAGTGCTTGAGTTGTTTCATATCTTTCAACCCATGACGCTGTAAGAGTCACCGAAGGAGGAGGTGGAAGAGATGAAGGAGGACGATGTCCAATTCCCGCCATTACCTAAGGAAGGGAAAATAATTTCACCTTGATTCGAATGTGGAAGACCATCTCTAGAAGATTGAGGGAAAACATTTCCCAAAGAATGAGGAAGACCATTATTGTCTTGATTTGACATCTAAAGTATAGGAGAAGAGAGAATTCAAGTTAGTTGATTTTAATCCTTAATTATTTACGCAAAATTTAAATTAAGGCTAGGATCCATATTTTTGATTTGACCTTTGAAGAGGGATGTCATAATCATTTTCGAATCTATTTTAGGTACTTAGAGATATATCACCAATTTCAATCACATGAAACTCCTAGATCTTTTGCGATTCATCAAATCTTATCAATAGCTTGTTTAATCACGATTATGCTCTTACCAATTGACTGGGATGCCGAGGATCACAATTAAGATGTGAATAACCATACAAACCTACCCAAACGCCCTTGATCGATTTATGATCTCCCATTGATGTGTCAGTTAACCACACACGCTCCATCAACAATGATAAACATGAATTGTTTAATTATTCCATCTTTATAGTCCCAAATTAGTGTGTTGTTAACCACACACGCTCCACTAACGGCTCATAAAGAAAGAACGTGCGTTTTCATGGATTATCATACACTTCACATTTTTCCTAAAGTAGCTAGAGTTAGGATTTATATAAAAGGTTCTAGTACTTTAATAACATTATACTTTTAAGAGGTTATGTTCTATCAAATTCGTTCGACCACCAAACAAGGGAGCGGTGGGTAAGAGTTGACACTCATTCAACAGTCATTGTATAGGTTGTTTCCTTATACTCCCTCATAATATGGTTTGTGAATGAGGCGTACTACCGATTTGACTAACTTGTCTTATACATATAGTATATTAAACTTTTAACCATATATAGTATAAGGTGTATTTTAAAACTTTTCAAAATACTAGGGTTTAAATTTAATTTTCGAATTAAACTTTTAATAATTAATTAACTTTAAACAATTAATTATTTACCAATTACCATTTAATTAACCAATTAAATTAATTTAAACCATTAAAGATTTAAATAATTATCTTCAATTAAACAATTAATAAAATAATTCAAATTTAAATCATAATGGATTAAATAATTATCTTCAATTAAACAATTCATAAAATAATTCAAATTTAAACCTAATCCTTTAACCCTTTTAATTTTCAAAAAGCGGTAAGGATTACCAAGTTTTAATTATCCAAATCTTAAGGAATTATACATTATATATAGGGAAACTAGAAACCCTAAGGGATCATACCAATTTTCGAAAGTAAGGGCGAAGGCTAGGGTTTCAAGAACCTTATCCATCATCGAAATATTTAAGGCCATTAGGGTTTAACTTCCAAAAACCCTAACTTTGATCAATTCGCTATTATGCACAATTAATTATAAAACTAAGACTCTGATACCACTGATGGGTTTTCTAGGTTATAAAAAAATTTCATGTGGTGGAAAAACACTTAAACCCTTAACATGCAACCTAGAAATGATCTATGTTTTCTTTATTGATAGAAATAGCCTATGAACATCAAGAAACCTTAGAGAGAGGCTATGAAAATCAAAATTAACATAAAGATTTGGGCTACATACCTTTTGATTATTATTGAAAATAATCAAACCAAAATCCTCTTGAAGTTCCTTGGAAAGCAAACACCAAAAGCTTGGATGTCTCTAATGGCTCATACTTAAAAGCTTAGAAACCCTAGAATGATGAGGAAAGAGATGAGAGAAGTAGAATTTACCTTCCTATGTTTGTAGGAAGGAGGGACAAAAATATAAGACCCTTAAGGGGCTATTTATAAGTGATTAAGGTATTCTAAGGTAACCCTAATTTAAATATTATAATAATATCTCAAATAATGCAGTTTCTTTTTACTATTTCCTTACCCTACAAGGCTTCTGTTAGTTTTCCTTTGCTCAACTTTTGAACATTGTCATCTTTAGTCTTTGTACTTTTAATCAATTCAATTAATACCAAAATTAAATCCAATTAATTTCTGATTAATAATTAATTTATTCTATTTGATTGCTTATTAATTTATTAATCATATAAATTAGCAAATCAATTATTTAACAATTGATCTCATATAACTTATTAATCACATAATAAATCAACAAATCAACGGTCTATTTTAAATTAATATATTAATCACATAATATATTAATATGTAACACCCTGACTCCCGGGTATGATATTTAATTTATTTTATACATTTTGTCAGAGCAACTTGACGAGTTGGATGCCCCAACTCGCCGAGTAAAGAAGATTATGGCCACGGGATTTTAGAGTCTACTCAACGAGTCGGAGGACCCCGACTCGACGAGTAGGAGCTGAGCGAGAAAACCCTAATTTTCAGGGTTTGTGTCCTATTTAAAGGACCTTAAGCCATCATTTCCACTACCCTTGTCACCCTACTACACTATGTGAAACCCTAATCGAGCTATAACCTTGTGTGTGAGAAAGAGAGGCTAATATTGTGAGTTTTAGTGCATTCTTGGAGGAAAGTTGAAGAGCAAAAGACTTTGGGCGAGAAGGAGGTTTTGGATCTGGTGTTCATTCATACCTAGCTTCTGTTTGAAGGTAAAAAGTCACCATCTTGCTCATTGGTTGGTTAGATCTTGTTTTTAGGGCATTTAGAGCCTTTTTCCCATCTTTCTTGGAGTCCTAGAGTGTTATGAGCCTTTCATGGAGTTGAGAACCCAGATCTGGGCATATTGAGGTTCCATGAGCCCAAAGATCCAAGCTTTCTCAAGATTTGGGCAAGTCTCTATCACACCCCCGGCCGAGGCGGCGGAACATGGCGGGCTGTGCGACTAAGTTCATGGATCACAGACAAACTGAATATACATCACAAGTACAACAATAAACAAAATAGCATTCATGTTCCATCTTGATATTTGAATACAAGGTTTTTACAAATAATAATAATACATGAATTGCCTTAACAGGTAGGCATATGATACAACAACAAATAAACATCGTCACCTGTAATCCAATCTGTCTTGAATGTCTGTTTAGTAGTTTCCTGAGAATACATGTAGTTTTGAAAGTCAATACAAAGGTTGGTGAGTGTTACAGGTTTTCTGCTAACGCAGTAATACTTTTAATAAGTCTAAAAAGTATTAACTTTGTATGTATAACTATAACGATAGTTAAAAACAATATTTGCAAAGAGTCTTTAAAATCCAAGAATGTATTTTGATATGAGTAAATTCATGCTTTTAACATGTACTTGTAATAACTCCTTGAAAGTCAAAATGAATGCTTTGTATAAGTAACTTACATACTTAAAAATGTACTTGTAATGACTTATTGAAAGTCAAAATGAATGTTTTGTATAAGTAATTTCCATACTTAAAATGTACTTGTAGTGACTTCTTAAAAGTCAAAATGAATGCTTTGTATAAGTAATTTTCATACTTAAAAATGTACTTGAAGGCAACCAAGCCTATGGTTGTAGTAAGAGAAAGAGAGAGATTCGTGTTAATGTTTTTAGTAAGTTCTATAATTGAGTTATGGACGAAAAGTACCCCTCCCTACGACGCTTCATTGGACGTCGTAGTAACGATCGTAGACACATATCACCTGCTACGATTGATCAGTCGATGGTTGTAGCTAGCAACCGCAGGTGGGGTTGTCAACCCCATATAGATCTATACATATGTACCTCGCTCCGAAGATTAACGATTATAACAGTGTGGGGCAGGCTAAGTAATTAAACTCAGCTAATGAATAGTAGTGTCTCACTCAAAAACCATTAACGAAAAGTTGTGAATAACTCTCAGCCCTAACTTAATTAAATTAAGTGCCATGCATAATGAATTTCATAGTATAGCATTCGTAAAAGCCGAGTATGGTTGTCGTATTTATAAATGTATAAAGTACTCCCTTTTATAGAGAAATGTAGTTCAATATAATGGTCTTTTATTAGTGTGTAAAGCCTCATGCATAAAAGTATTCATGTATAAAAGTCTTTGAAACTTTTAAATACTTTAAACTTGTATATGTGTGTAAAGCCTTATGCATAAAAGTATTCATGTATAGAAGTCTTAAAACTTTGGAATCCTTTAAATTGGTAGTATGCATATCATATAAGACTAAAAATGAATGTTTCAAATTAATGAACATATGTACATGTATAAACTTTATTCATATAAACATATAAATATACATGTATAGTAATATCTTGAACCATTGAAATACTACACAATTTCATAACGTACTTGTTATAATATAAAAATCATAAAACTTTGTATCATGTAGTATTTGTTGTGTGGAATGGTTATTTCACAATAAAATAACCATAATACGTATACGAAAACTTATACTAGTTTATTCGTAACAATATAGTAAATTGTTAAATAATAATATTTTTATAAACTAGGTTTTTCGCATAAAAAGGTAATTGGTTTGCCAAAATCATACTTCAGGGACTGATATTGAGAATTATTCTCAAAACAGGGGTTAAATATGTGTTTTTGAAACCTATTTAGGGTTTTAGGACTTAGTTTATTAGGTTTTTCTGGGGGAGGGACCATTTCTGTTTAAGTTAAATACAAGTTTGATTTATCTTTGACGTTTGACTGGGTCAAAATCAAAACCCATTTGTTTATCGGGGCTCCAAGTACGATCCGCATAAGTGGATCCATTTACAAAAAGATCAGGGCTCTTACCCTGTGTTTCATTCAATCGGGCAAACCTCAAGGAACGAAGAATCAGTGGGGGGAAAGGGATCAATTCACGGCGAGCCTTCATTCCTCTCCCGTCGTCGGCAGCAAAGAGACCAAGGGGAAGATCCGATGGCGAAGCAATGACCGACAGTGGAAAAGTGTAGCGACTGTGAGACCTGATGGCGGTCGTCATCTTGCAAGGGAGATGGAATGATCGGCGACGAGGGGTTTGTCTTGAGGGTTTGATGAGGCCGACGTGACGGAGGAAATGGTGGAGTCGGCGAGGCTTCTTCTTCTCGTCTGGTTGTTGGGTGCGAAGGGGGAAAGGAAACGAGTCTAAAGAGATGGAGGGGGATCGGTGGGTTTTCTCGACGGGCAAGACGGGGAGGGACAACCTCCTCCGGCGATTGCAGGTAACGGACGGGACAGAAGTCTCGGGTTCTTCTTCTTCTTCATTGTTTGCGTCGACTAGTATCAATGGATAATGGGATGTTTGGGTGTTTGAGTTTACTGGGAAAAGAAAACATCAAAAATCAAAATGAATGTGTTTGGTTTGCTTCATTTGACAGGGAGGGAACGAGGGGCACAATCGGGGCTGCTGTGGTCGATTAGAAATCGGGAAGAAGATGAGTAGAAGCAACCATTTCAAAAGATGGATCGATGGTGGCTAACAGGTACTCCTCTTGATTTATTTTTTCATCATTTGTGTGTGTGTGTGTGTTGATGAACACTGATGAAGGGAAAGATGAGTTGGGTTTATTGTTTTACAGAAATCGATGGGTGTATGTTGATTTTATCGTCTGTTGTTTGAGTGTTAATTTTAACATTGTACAGGTTTGGTTTTGATTGAGTGATGTGTGGTTTTGGTTAATAGGAAAGAGTGTGGTATTGGGTTGAAGAAGATTGTGCACGAAATTCGTGATATTGTGATGTGCAGCACAAGGAAGAAGGGATTGACAGCTCACAATGAGAATTAATGAAAATTAGCTGTTTTGTGTGTTTTGTGTGTATGTTTGTATAAAATATGTTTGTATAAATGGTTTGTTTTTGTGTAAAATAAGGTTTGTACAATAATTAGTATAATTGGTATTGTAATGGTTTCCTTTTTGTATGTAATGTGTGTATTGATTTGATTAAGCATGTATTTAAGTTTTCATATATAAATACAATTATATATCATATATGTATTGTATTCGGTTATTTGCAAGAGTAAATAACATATTTAAATATTTTTCTAAAAATAATGAATGATAGAGTTTAATTCTAGGATTTCAAAAATCAAGACAAATTGATTTTTCGAGTAATAGAACTCCGAAAATTTGCGTTTAAAGTTTCGCGATTAATAAATCTTAAAACGTCTGATTTCTTAATTTTCTAAATATCTTTACTAAAAATATTTCAAATATGAAATTAAATATTACGCTATAGCCTAAGTCCAAAAATGCTTTCGGAATAGCCACTTGAGGTGTGCAAGTCCCTCAACGGATAGAAACGGTTTTGACAACATTTAAGAAATCACTATTTTACTAATTTTCGATTCTTAAAATAGTCGTAACTTTTGAATACGAACTCTGTTTTGGACGTTCTTTATATTTTCGGAATCAGTGAAGCACGTACTACGAGACTAGAGTGTTTGTATTTCTTCCAACGGCTTATTACGAAATTTTAGTTTTTCAAACGCATTCCTACGGTTGTCGTTTGAGCTGTTTGATTTCTTTGTCAAATTACACATTTGGAAGTAAGATGCCATCTGGTATCTTATAATAGTTCAAATAACTCATTTATTTTACTTTAGATGCACTAAAAACACAATGAATCAAATTATAAAGAGGTTTACTGTGAACTTGACCGTTCACAGTTTATGACCTAAATTCTGGGATGTCACAGTCTCCATGCATGAAACCCTTTATGGAGCTTCTTTTGGCATTTTGAACCCTAAATGTCATGCATGAATGTAAAGCTTGCAGCTTTATGTGATAAGTGAGTCTTAGAAGGTTAGATCCAGAGTATGAGACACCATTTCTGCTAAAAATGGTTTGAATGAGAGTATGGATTGAAGAGACTCGACGAGTAGGTGAACTGACTCGACGAGTCGGTTAGGGTTTCCCCGATGAGTCTGGGCACATTGTAACTCGGCGAGTTGATGAGTTAACTCGACGAGTTGAGTTGGACTTTCGCGATATTTTCAAGAAAACGAAGGAACTCGACGAGTCGCATAGATGCACTCGATGAGTTGAGTCAACCTGGACTGTTGACTTGAGTGTTGACTTATGTTGACTTTTAGGGTTTGGTCAAGACATGGATTATGGAGACCATGGAAGGGTAATATAGTCTTTTACCCTTTCCAAGTGTCAGAGAAAGAGGTTTGCTTAAATTATTTGAGTTGAGGTTATAAGTGTTAATTAGAGATGATTATGACGTGTAGGCGAGGATTAGACCGTTCAAGGGGTGCGAGGTTTATTTGCTTACTTACGAGGTGAGTCTTCTCTCTATACTTACCACGAGTGGTAACTTGTGTGACCAGAGGGTCTTGTATACTATTATTGAGTATTGTGATATCATGCATTATGTCTTTGTGATTTATGTTGTGTATTATTCTGAGCTTTATTGAGTTAGGACCGGAGGGTCCAACCCAAGTTGTGGGACCGGAGAGTCTCCACTGAGACATATTGATCGGAGGGTCTTTATCGAGATACAGTCATGAGAGACTAATGAGATGTGTGTGGTATTTTGGGGAAGTCACTAAGCTTCATGCTTACCGTGTTATGTGATATGTGTTTCAGGTACTTCTCAGGATCGCGGGAAGGCGCTGGTTTGATTGTACACACGAGATGGAGTTATGTTTTTGAGGATCCTGGATTTTTATTCAAACAATTATGGATTTGTGTTTTTGATAATTTCACACTTTGGGGTTTTTGTGAAATGTGTTGATGAGAATTATGTGAATTTAAAATGAAAATTTTGTTTTGAAAATTTATGGTGTTACAAGTTGGTATCAGAGCCATGGTTTGAGGGATTCGGATGTACCTTCGGGTATGTCTGAACTCAAACTAAGGATTTGAGAAAAAATTTCAAGGTGAAATGATTTTTCTAATATGAGTAAGAGTTTTTAAGAGAAAAAGGAGATGGAGGAGTGTGTACAATCAGCTAGAGCCCGAACGGTGATTTCCCAAAATACCGTTATTTGTTTATATTATGAGATGTTAGGAATGCATGCTAGAGGATAGGCAAGGTATTTCATATTTTAGGGCTAGAGTTGCCTGATTTGTGATGACTTAGCCTAGGAGATGTTTCTATCTATTATTTGCCCTGAGTATATGTTGAGTAGGAGTATCTAGCAGGAATCTCTTAGAAAGAATTTGAGACGAGGGATAATCTAGGAGAGATACCTAGATGAGCATAGGAGGAGTATACTAAGAGAGTAGTTTGATATTCGCGAGAAATAGAGTACTTGTGAATTAGGATCCTGGGAGGAGGACTTGGGGTGACTACAGGTTGGTGTGGAAGGTAGTATTGGGCCTGTACTACTAAAATCACCGGATTTGTATGCGACCCAAGTAAGAATCCTTAGGATACTAAGAAGCATGTAGGGACGGGAAATCGAGTGTGAGTATGCTCGAGCGAGTCTCTGACGATTTTTCGTGTTGTGTTTCAGAGACATTATGGTGAGTACACGCCACAACCCCGGGAGAAGTGGTGCCAGTGATGAGGAGATCCACAAGATCATTCATGATGAGGTGGTCGCAGCTATCAGAGAGGCCATACCAGAGATGTTCGGGTCTATTAAAACCACGTTGATTGAGACATTCGATGAGCGTTATGCTGCTGTTACTGAGGCTGTTGCTGCAGCCACCACAGTCGTAGCTGCTTTTAGACCACAGAGAGGTGACTCGTTGTTGCTACGGGAGTTCAGCAACACGAAGCCATCAGAGTTTGATGGGACTCAGGATTTGATTGCTGCTATGAGATGGATCTCCGACATTGAGGGGTTTTTCTACACGTGTTCATGCCCAGAGCACCTGAGGCTTCGGTTAACATTGAACCAGCTTCGCTTGGGAGCGAAGGACTGGTGGAAGTTTGTGACTACCAGCTTTACTCCTGCAGATCATGCTGTAGTGACCTGGGAGAGGTTTACATGGTTGTTCCGAGATGAGTATGTTCCCCGGGTGGAGAAGGAACGGTTAGCCCAGGAGTTTCTCTCTCTCAAGCAGAAGACAAAAACTGTGACCGAGATCACGAGGATGTTCCATGAGAGGGCGATGTTTTTCCATGAGCACGTGTCTACTGAGCAGGCACGTGTGAGCCGATACCTGAGCATACTGAGGAGGGATATACGGGAGTTCGTGGCGAACTCGTCATAGCATACATTGGCTGAACTTCAGACCAATGCAAGGCAGAACGAGATTGAGCTACATTTACAAGCTAGGGAGGAGGGAAAGTCTCAGGGGAGAGACTGGAGACCAGTACAGTCGCACCCTGCGACAAAGTGGGCTAAGCCCGCTGATGCGAGAGCGGGAGGCCATAAGGGTCGCACTTGTGGCAAGTGCGGAAAGAGCCACGAGGGGTCTTGTCGAGCGGGGATTTGCTACAAATGTGGCAAGGAGGGGTATATGACGAAGGACTGCCCCAAGGGATTTCGCTCCGTTTTCATTGCAACCAGACGGGGCACCGAAAGGCTGAGTGTCCTCAGCTTACTTAGAGATCAGTTCAGGCTTTCGCTCCCACTGCCTTGCATACTACTGATAGCCGGCCGGCGAAGGCCGAGACCCCTAGAGCTAGTGGGAGAGCATTCCAGCTGACAGCGGAGGAGGTCCCCGCAACACCTGATGTCGTGGCCGATACGTATTTTCTTATTCCTGTTATTTTGAGATTTGTTTATGCTTATATTGTGTTGTATATAGGTACTTTTCTTGTGAGTTGTGTGTCTACTTTAGTGTTATTTGAATCGGGTGCGAGTCGATCCTTCGTGTCCTTATCCTTTATTCGACACATTAGTGTTAGACGCAAGGCATTGAGTCGACCTCTAAGGGTTTCTATAGCTGACGAGCATGCGGTTTTTGCCACTGATGTGTTTTGACGATGTGTGTTAGATATTTTCGGTGTTGAGTTCCCTATAGATCTGGTGCCGATAGCGATGGGTGATGTATGTGTCATAGTGGGCATGGATTGGTTGAGCCGGTTTGGAGCTATGAT